GGCGGCCGGGGGACAGAGCGCTCCTCCAGAGTCACGGCCACCCTGAGGGTGACAGATGTGAAACGCTCCCGCTCTCGGGAGCTGCTCCCTCTTCCAGCCCCCGAGCAACAAACAGTCGAGTAAGTTTTCTCTCGGCTCGCCAGGGCTGATGGCTTCTCTCCACCCTCCGAGCTCTGCAGGCACGTGAGGGTGGGATAACTTAGCACCGCTCTCTGCTCACCCAGCCCAGAAGGACGCGAAGGGGTCCTGCGCACTCCAGATCTGCTCCTGCCGTGCTGGGCGGCAGTGCCTACAGAGCTCGGGCAGTCGTTCTGCGTCTGCCGGACCCGGAGGCAGGAGCTGCCGTGCACCTGTCTGGGAGGGAGTGAACGTGAGAGATCCTGGTGCATCCCAGGACTGCTCACAGCTCTCATTCCCAGCAAACTTGGCTGGGATGACGACTGAAAAGTGTCTGCTCAGTCTGCAGCGGTAAGTGCAGGGTCTGTTCCAGCCTGTCAGACATAAAGCAGAGATACTAAATGTCTTTCTGAAGCGGGCTCTGGCTCGGGTCTTGCACCGCTACAGAAGGGACACTTGGGAGCTGAACGTCCAGCAGCGGCACATCCCCTCGGCCCTCTCTCAGCCTTTTTGATGCTGCTGGAGGAAGCCGCCCAGGCATGCTTAGGGACAGAGCCTGTGTTTCACCCCCCAGCCCTTCTGAATCACCTAGAATTCGGTTGCTGTTGGGTTTTCCTCCCAGAGGGCAATGGAGGAAGTGCAGTTGCTTGCCAGAGCTGCATTCGCAGTCTGTATTCCTGAGCGCAGCGCAGTCAGGAGGGAGCGTGTGATGCAGGTTGACCTCTGCTACAGCACTGCCAGACAGTCCTAAGAGGAGATGCCTGACTCAGGAGTGTGTGCAGCTATGACTTGGAAAGGGTGGCTTTCCTGGAGCTTTTACAGTCCAGGTTTCCAAATCCCATTGCTGGCTTATGTCAGACTGTGACCTTTTCTTCTCTGACAAATTTTGTGCTTGTCTGGATGGTCCTACAGGAAAGATTTCCTGTTGTGATACATGTGAGCCCCTTGGAGTTGCTCCAGCCTCTACACAAACGCAGCCATTAGCAATTCAATCCTGCCAGGGGGCCCAGGAGATGCTGAAATGCTGAGTGCCTGGCAGGATTGGGCTCCTGGGACAGGAGCTGTCCCTCATGAAGTCTAAATTCTCATCCCAGTTCCACTGCTGCCTTCCTGCTTGACCTTGAGGTAGGAGAGCTTGGGTCAGATCCAGCTTGCAGTGTCTTGCCATTACTTGCATTGTTATTTGACTCTGGTACCTTGTTTTCTATAATCAACAAAACTAAAGCCTGCAGCTGCACTGGTTATGGGAAGCTGCTGAGACCTGGCAATAGATGATGTGACAGAAGCCTGAGGTATCATGTATCATCTGCAAGTCAGAAAAGCAGGAAGCGGTGCAAATGCCCTCCTTCTACTCGGCCAAGATTTCCTGCTGAAACAAGCAGCCTACAGAGCATCATCTCTGAAAATTTCAACTGCTCTGTGCTACTCTGTGCCCCCTGAGACCTAGCTGGGGGTTGATTTGTGTTGTTGCTATTGCATCTGAAAGCCTGATGGAAGCTCTCTGGCCTGGCCAGCAAGAACTGACACAAGGTCAGTTCTTTATGTGTTATGAACCACAAAAATATAACCCAGTGGAGGTTTGGCTGTCACAGCCTTGACAGTGTGTGACAGCTCAGCTGTGATGTCACTGTAGCTCTCAGAGCAGCATTCCATAAAGCCAGGATTCAGACAGTCCCAAAATGTTCTGTTTAAAGTGCTGGGCTGATTTATGATGATAAATGAGAGCTTATAAATGGAGAGAGACATGGGAGGAGGGGAGCCAACAACTTAACTAATGAAAAGTAATTCAGTGGCCTGATACCCCACTGTCTCTTCAGTCAATTCTGCTTTAGATTTGCCTACCATGTGAAAGGAAATGTTCTTCTAAGACTAGATAAGACTCTAACCAGATTTCTGCTTTGCTAATAGCATTGTGAGGAGATTTGCTTATAAAGGTCTGATATTTGTTGTTTTACTCAATTTGTTTCTTTTTTGGGAAGGTAAATGAGAAAACAACAGACCTGGAAATGTTTGAATGTTTCTGGGGATCCTAAGCCAGTAGTTACCCCAGTGCTGCCCCATGGCCGTTGCTGTCTTCTCAACTGGCCCCTAAATCCAGGATAGATGAGAGCCTTAAACAATTCAGTAGGAATTTCCTCTGTTTTGTGGGACAGTGAGGCAGGGAGATGAGTTGATATCAGTCTCTCTACAAAGCAGAAATCGGAGCCAGTTTCCAGCTATTTTGTTCTGTTTCCAAGTGACAAGGACTTGTGTTCACATGGTTGTGAGCATCAAAGTGGAGCTTCCTCCTATACAGCATTTTAAAGGCAGATCTGATAGAACAGAAGATGTGGGGAAAATCCTTGCAGTGGGCTCTCTCCAGCCTTCCACCCTCTCACCTTGCACAAGAGGAATTAGCTGTTTTTCAGATGTGGACACGTGAGGCTCAGAGAACTGATGGCTATCAAAAGGCTGCAGAAAGCCAGACTCAGGAGCAGGCAGCAGACAGGGCTCTGACAACCCAGCAAAGGAATTGATGGGTCAGTGTTGGGCCACAGGATCTCAGAAAGTGATCTGGAAAAACACTGCTAATTCATCCATTCCGTCAGTATCCACAGAGCTTTCTTGATCTCTGTGACGAAAAACCCCTTTTTTCCTTGCTTGCCTGCAAATAGACATAGTGGGAGAAAACAGAATTAACTCATGAATGTTTTGAGTTCATCCAAATTTGGATTTGTAAATGAAAACTGTTCTCCCTGTGTTTGGTAGATTCCCCTTCCTCCTCCTCCGGAAGGGTAGGTGATTCTGGGATGAAGAAGGATGTTGGAAATGGCATTAAATCATTTGGTTATTTCTCTGTTAGAATATACTTCTACAGTTTACTGCATGTTAATGTCATTGCTCTTATACCTTCTTTTTACTCTTTTTCCTCCCTTATGCTGCCTCTCAGCACTGGAAAGCCCTATTTGATCAGGTATGTGAACTACTGATATATTCTCTCTGTCTTGTAAGCAAAGAGCCTAACCTCTGGGTAATTCCCTCTGTGCTGGCTTTCCCCTGCCTTTAAAATACAGCCTAGGAGAAATGTGCTGCATGCTCCCATGCAGGATGCTGGTGTGCAAGTCATAATTATCACGGCTGCTTTGGGCCTTTCTCTCAGTTCTCTTCAGAGCAGCCAGGGACAGGAGTGAGCCCATCCCTGGTGCCCAGGGGCTGAGCCAAGGTGCTGCAGCAGGTGCTCTGTTTCCTGCCAGTTGTGCTGTCCTTGCTTGGGGATTAAAGGATCTTCTGCTCTTTCAGGCAGGCAGACTGAGACCTGTAAAACCAGCACAGGGTTCTTTGAAATGGCTCCCCAGCAGCTAAACTGACTTCTGCAGGGTTACATCATCCAGGCAGGACCTGCTGCTTTAAACTTGCACAGGATGAGCAAGGAATCTGCTTCTGTACCAAAGACTCTGGTTGTGTCAGGTAAATGCTTTGGGACAGATCTGTAGCTGGCTGAAGTCAGCACAGCTCTGAAGAGATCCAGACTGTAGCTGCTGAGGTTTTGGGTTGTGGGTTCTAGTTTGTAGATGATGTTTTTAGCTGCTTTAATGGACGTGTTTGCTTTGTGGTATCCCTTCCATCTGCTGGGTTGAAATGTGTAGCAGCTATAAACAGGGATTTTTCTAGGGTTGATTTGCTTCTAAACTGCAGCACTCTCTTGATGTCATAAACTTTTGTGCTGTTGTGTGTGCATGTAAATGTCACCTTCTGTGAGGGAGCTTCCTCTGACGCTGGCATCATCCTGGCAATAAAGTTCGGATGGGATTTCATCCCTGCTTTATGAAGCAATCATCTTGCCTCTGTGTCTGGCTGCACTACAAAGCCAAAGCTGTGGTGCAGCCTGCACAAGGATGTCCTTGGTGCCCTGGGGGTCCTGTTATCATTCAGCTATTAACTGGGGCTGCCTGTTCTGATGAGTGCTCATTTACACAGGGTTAGCCGTGACCAACTGCTAATCCACGTGTCTGTGCTACAGTCAGCAGGCAGTTGGGAGCTGGGTATTATGATTGTTGATCACACCTGAATTGTGTGGTGTGTTTGAATCTGCTGGGGCTCAGAGGGGATGCTGCCACTGAAAGGGTGGATGCACAATAAATTGCTTGTGGTCTGGGCTGAATGTTTGTTTCAGCTGCTTTGAATTCTCCTGTCTCCAACACTGGCCCTAATTTGGAGGCTTATTCTACAAGCATCCTTTGAAGTCATTGAGGCCTTGTGGGATGGGGCTGTTGGCTGGTAGCTACCTCAGGCTCAAAGAGAGGAATCTGTAATTTCCCATTGGATTTATATGAATAGTAGATGGGATTTTTTCCCTTTTTTTTTTTTTTCTTTTTAAGGGGAGGGAGTTTGACTGTTGGATGTACAGAACACTAGCCCAGTAACAATGGAACAGGCTGTAAAGACAGACCTTCAGTAATTAGCTGTGTTTCAATTAGGGCTGCAGCTGAATTTTAAACCTTGTCTGTAAGACTTTATTATCAAAGAGAATGCAACCTGTGACAATTACACATAAGTCCTGAATAAATCAATGATGTCCTTGTTGCCTGTGGGCAAAGCTGACGTCTTCCTGGAGCATTATATCAGCAGAGCAATGCAATTAGTCCTGCAGTGAATTGCAAGATGCTGTTTGTCATGGAACAAGGTTGCTATTCCCAGCAGCAATGTGCTAGGAGGAGAGGGGAGCACTTTGTTTAGCTCTGATGGGCATACATGTGAAACATGAGGGCAGTCTCAATAACCAGAAAAAGCCTGGGTGTTGGCACTGGCAACAGTTGCAGCTCTCCCTGGCAGTCAGGACCTGACTGGATGTGCACTTGCAGTGGCAATGGGTGGCCCAGGGTGCATTTGTGGCTGCTGGGCTGGGACTGGGGTTTGGGAGCCACCTGAGCTGGGACACGTGTGCCTCTGCACTCACCACCACCCAAGAGAGCAAGAGAAGGCTCTGGAGAATGTGTTAAGAGTAGTTGGGAATTTACAGGCTGGTAGTCTGCAAGTGGCTTGTTGCTGTTATACTCTATCATCCCAGAAAACTGTGAAGGAGAGGTCAGTGCACACACCCCCAGCCTCTGAGAGGGGAATGAAATTATTATTAATGGTTGTTTGTTTGGTTTGGGTTTTTTTTAGGAAGTATTTTTTAAACTTTCATTTAAGTTTACTGACCAAAAAAAGCAGCCAGTTTTCTGTTTAGACATACAAAATTTAAGGGGTTTGGTTTTTTTATGATCTCCCCCTCCCCAGCTTAAATTAAAAATTCAGAACTTCTTGATGGAAAAATTGCTGCTCAGCCATAAAGCAGTGCTTTTTCCTTGGTTATTTTAGGAGAGAGGAGTGACTGACCATGTTTTCTGTAGGAATTTTTTATTTGTTTTGATCCAGCTCTAATCTGTCACACCGGGAACTGTCAGTATCTCAAGCCAAGATCTTCAGCCACTTGCAGACTGATTTATTTAGGAACTAAAGGAACTTAAATTTGACAAAAACTCAGACCCAGAACTGCTTCCTATGCTTTGAGGTTCAAAGGAGCCCTTCCCAGGACAAAATCCTGGCTGCACTGAAGCAAGTACCAAAATTCCTCCTGGATTTAGTGGGGTCAGCACTTCACCCAAGAGTTTGGGAGCAGGCAGACTCACAGCTCCTCAGTGCTGCAGCCAGACAGTTACAGTTCAGCTGCTGCCTCATACTGTGCTTGCAAGATGTGGTTTTTATTACAAGGCCATGGCCCTCGGGCAGCTCTAACTCACTTTTATATGGGAACTTTTATAGGGATTCATACATTTATTTATTGTGCTCATAAACACCCTCCACCCCCACACACACATTAGCTCTGCATCTGCTGCCTTCTGCAGTGCCTGCACCATCGCTGCGTGCTCTGTGCTGGCTCTGTGAGGAATCTGAGCTCTGAGCAGAGCAAGCTCTCTCCATCCCTCTGCAATCACTTGGGGTTTTCTTCATTTCTTCTTCAGTGGCCAAAGCCCCATTTTTTTGTTAATCTTCTGGTAAAGTTGAAAATGCGACAATCCCAGGAGCAGCTGCTGACAGTTTCATGCTTCTCTGTGTTAATAAGATTTGTTAATTGCCTTGCACTCAGACATGAGAACATCTCCCAGTCCTTGCTGAAGCCAAGTTTCCTGATGGTTGGAGAGTGATTGTGCAGAAGAGTGTCCTGAGGGGCTGTTCCTGCTTTGCTCTGTCCTCTCTGGGGCCTCGGGTGCAGTTCTGTGCCCCTGCTTTGGCAGTGACTGCAGCTGGTTGGTGTGTCCAGCCCTTGGCTGGGCTGGGTGACAGGGGCTGGATAGGACATCAGTGTTCTTGGGACAGACCTGCCTTCTGAAGGTGGCTTTTAACCTTGTTAGATGCTAGGAGCTTGTGTCATCTTCTCTGCTTGCCCATCCCCATGGCTGTTGAGATTTTGAGGATGAATTAGCATTATCAGCCCTCATCTTGGAGTTCTCACTTCTTCTCACCCATACCCTGGTTTGTAGTCATGACAACAAACTTGTTTTAAATAGACACACAAAAAACTCTCTAAAAAGACCCTCCTTAGTGCCTCAACACCTTGATCCTATTGCTTGTCAATCCAGGCTGTGTTTTTGTTGCAGCTGCTTTAGAAATCCTAGATTCCTCCCTGAGACTTGCACGTGGGTGTGATGGCAACAGATGAACAGAGTTTATGGGGAATGCAGAGAGATGCCAAGTTACCCAGTCTGTGTAGGCAGCTAATGGAAAACTTGAGCTCAGAAACAAGGCTGTACAGACAGATATGCACTTGCCAGGAAGAGTTCAGTTGCTGACACCACCAGCAGTGGGTGCAGCTGAACCTGCTCCACCATGGTCTCATAAAACATTAAAATATGCTTTAAAAGATGCTGACTTTGCAGCTGCCTTAAATCCAGGGCTGGTTCCTGAACAATTGAAATTGCAGAGCAATCCATAAAATTGGGGCAGCTATTATCATTGTTGGTGGTAACTGAGGAAGGGAATTATTTTGAACTTAATGATCTTTTATGTTAACTGTCCCTTTTTTCTGGGTAGCCTTTAGTGCAGGCAGGCAGAGCTATTTCCCACGCTGTAAAAGAAATTCCAGTTTATTTACTGGGGCAGTGTTGAGCTAAACATGACCCTTCACTTTGAAACGTTCCCCTGCCTTTTGTTGCTGGCAAACCCCTGCCAGCTGTGGCTGCAAAACCTCTCCAGGCAGGTCTCACTGAGCTGTAGGCAGTGGTTTGTGCCTTGAGATTTCACCTCTTTCTCTAACAAACAACTTGTGCTTCACTGCTGGTTTGTTGGATCATGGGAACAGGTGGAGCACAAACTGTAATATAAAGAATAGGAAATTATGGCAGTGATAGCAGCAGTGTAGCCAGGGGGGTTGAGCCCAGGGTTTTGTGTAGCCTTCAAGTCCTTACCTGAATTTTGGACTATTGCTGCCTTTATAGTGTTCATTGGGACATCTGTCCCCATTTAAATGGAGTGGTGCTGCAGACAGGAGGCTGTGGAAACTGTGATTAGGAAATAGTCATCAACTTTCTGCTTCATCTGCTGAGGTGACTGGGGAATCAGAGGTGCTGGTGGGAAGACTGTCCATGGTGATAAGAGATAAGCATCCAGGCCCCAAACCAGCATCTGCCTCGTCTGCCATATCAGACGTTTCTGAGAGAGTGACAGGAAACGTGTCCCCTTCTCCCCCTCTGCCAAGCTGTGCATTGTAAAGGGGAGAGACATTTTAAAATCTACAAGGGTCTCTTTACAATCCACAGAGGGGGTTCTGCATCTGCCCCACGCCTTGAAGTCTAATCTCATTTACAGTTGTCAGCGTGGGCTGCTGGAGGAGATGAAAGGCGGAGGACAAGGAGGGAGAATGGATTAGTCCCGAGCAGAGGGCACGGGGAGTGCACCTGCCTCTGCCCCGCTACCTTGAGGAGGGGCGGCAGT